TGAACACACAACACACACACAGAGGTACACAACACACACACACACACACAGGTACACACACACACACACACACACACACAGAGGTACACAACACACACACACACACACACACAGGTACACAACACACACACAGAACACACACACACACAGGTACACAACACACACACACAGGTACACAACACACACACACAGGTACACACACACACACACAACACACACACACACAGAGGTACACACACACACACACACAGGTACACACACACACACACACACACACACACAGGTACACAACACACACACACACAGGTACACACACACACACACACACACACACACACACACACACACACACACACACACACACACACACAGGTACACACACACACACACACACACACACACACACAGGTACACACACACACACACACACACACACACACACACAGGTACACACACACACACACACACACACAGGTACACACACACACACACACACACACACAGGTACACACACACACACACACACACACACACACACACAGGTACACAACACACACACACAGGTACACAACACACACACACACACACACACAGGTACACACACACACACACACACACACACACACACACACACACACACACAGGTACACACACACACACACACACACACACACACACAGGTACACACACACACACACACACACACACAGGTCACACACACACACACACACACAGGTCACACACACACACACACACACACACACAGGTACACACACACACACACACACACACACACAGGTACACAACACACACACACACACACAGGTACACACACACACACACACACACACACACAGGTACACACACACACACACACACACAGGTACACACACACACACACACACACACACAGAGGTACACACACACACACACACACACAGAGGTACACACACACACACAGGTACACAACACACAACACAGGTACACACACACACACACACACAGGTACACACACACACCACAGGTACACACACACACACACACACACAGGTACAACACACACACACACACACAGGTACACACACACACACACACAGGTACACACACACACACACACACACAACACACACAACACACAGGTACACACACACACACACACACACACACACAGGTACACACACACACACACACACAGGTACACAGGTACACACACACACACACACACACACACACAGGTACACACACACACACACACACACACACACAGGTACACACACACACACACACACACACACACAGGTACACACACACACACACACACACACACACACACACACACACACACACAGGTACACACACACACACACACACACACACACAGGTACACACACACACACACACAGGTACACACACACACACACACACACACACACAGGTACACAACACACACACACACACACACAGGTACACACACACACACACACAGGTCACACACACAGGTACACACACACACACACAGGTACACACACACACACACACAGGTACACAACACACACACACACACACACACAGGTACACACACACACACACACACACAACAGGTACACACACACACAAACACACACACCAGGTACACACCACACACACACACACACAGGTACACACACACACACGGTACACAACACACACACACGTACACACACACACACACACACACACACACAGGTACACACACACACACACACACACACACAGGTACACAAACACACACACACAACACACAGGTACACACACACACACACACACACACACAGGTACACACACACACACACAGGTACACAACACACACACAACACACACACAGAGGTACACAACACACACACAACACACAGGTACACAACACACACACAACACACACACAGAGGTACACAACACACACACACACAACACACACACACAGGTACACAACACACACACAACGGTACACAACACACACACACAACACACACACAACATTTAATGAAACCTGTATCACACTACTGTTGTGTTGTTGTATCGTTGTATCGTTTTATCGTTGTGTCATTGTGTCATTGTGTCATTGTGTCTTTGTGTTGTTGTATCGTTGTGTCGTTGTGTTGTTGTGTCGTGTTGTGTCGTGTCATTGTGTCGTTGTGTCGTATTGTTCCTGGTCACACTCAGAGCTGGATTTGTGTTTGTTTTAGAGCCCGACCGATATATTGGTTGGCTAATATTATCGGCCGATATGAGCACCTGGAAGCATATTGGCTATCAGCCGATATGTTTGCTGATAGGAGCCGATATTTCCCGTGGGCATGTTACACCTCGTTATAAATCTTAGACTCTCTACATTCTGTTTACTTAATCCAATTTACAGACAAATAAATGTCCAAATATGTGACTCTGCATCAGGATTTATCTGTGGAGTCATTTGTCTGTGTGTGTGTGTGTGTGTGTGTGTGTGTGTGTGTGTGTGTGTGTGTGTGTGTGTGTGTGTGTGTGTGCGTGTGTGTGTGTGTGTGTGTGTGTGTGTGTGTGTGTGTGCGTGTGTGTGTGTGTGCGTGTGTGTGTATGTGCGTGTGTGTGTGCGCGTATATGTGTATGTGTGTGTGTGTGTGTTATTAGTTCAGACTTGTGATGTGGGAGGAGCCTGTGTGATGTGGGAGGAGCCTGTGTGATGTGGGAGGAGCCTGTGTGAGTCTGAGTGTTGATAATATGTCGACTTTGAAGTTGGTTTTGGTTCGTTCTGATTGGTTATTGATGATCTGTTGTGTCTGTTTTCTATTGATCTGTTGGAAAGTGATTATATCGTTTGTATATTTGTTACTGGAGCTGCTTTGATAAATCTCACCTGCAGTTGTTTGTTTACACCCAGTTTCCTCTACATGAGTTTGCTCCAGTTTGAGTTTGTGGTTTGAACAGGAAACTCTCAACTCAAACTCTACAAATCTGCACTTCACACAAACACAATAACAGATATATACTAATATATAGATTATATACAGAGTCCCAAAACATGTGACACCATTTCACAGGTCAATACTTTTGAAATAAACTCACATTTTGACAGAATCTCCAGAAACAGATGAAGATTTGATTTGTGATGTTTTATTTTTGTTGTGTTTTCAGGTTGAGTCGTTCAGTCTGAAACAGAATCATTTAGTGTCTTGAATCTGCTGCTCAAACTCACCAAGACTGAAACTTCAACACAACATCTGGACAAAACTTCACCAAAAATGAGTTCAGCTTCTGCAGGACTAAAGGATCTGGACCAACATCAACGTCAGAAGAGAAACAAGAGAAACAAGAGCAAGTTCATGAAAAACTCTTGATGCCTCAAGAGTCTGTGAGGAGAACAAGTCTGGAAACTCAGATTCCTCGAGTGACGGTTTGGTGTTTCTTCAAGTTTCATGTCGACACACAGAATTCTTGACATTTTCGTGTCTTGTCGTCTGATTTTAAAGTCTGAAGGAGCTGCACATGGTTTCACTTCCGATCGTTTCCTCAGGATTCACCAAACCGTCTCTGTTCAGTCTTGGTGAGTTTGAGCAGCAGATTCAAGACAAGAAATGATTCTGTTTCAGACTGAACGACTCAACCTGAAAACACAACAAAAATAAAACATAGAAAACCATCTGAACATTCTGTGAAAATGTGAACAAGAACTGACAGAATTATTGGCCTGCAGAATGATTATTTTGAGACCCTCTGTTCATGTATAAATATAAATCCAACGCTGAGAGGAACTTGATGCTAAATCTGGATTTTATTTTCCTCCATGTTGTTTGAATCGCTGCTCTAATAAATTCCCTCATCACAAACCGTCTCAGGAGGTTTTAGAGTCGCCCACGTTTCTATGTCAAACTCTTCTTACGATTAGCAGCAGTACGAGTCTGTACGAGGCTCCGCCCATGTGCTCCCACACCACAATTCTCCATAAATACGAAAAAAAAAACTTAAGTAAAATCTGTTGTTTTGGACGAATCAAACATTTCCAAAACAGTAAAATGAACATGTTGATCTAAACATGTGACATGTGAAAAGCCCACAGAAGTTTAATAGTCCCTCTGTAACACCCAGGAAAGTTCCATACTCTTTCTTTAAACGCAGTCTTCAGAAAACGTCAGAGGATCAGGTTTAATATCAGAGAAGATGGACGTGATCGACCAGAGCGTCAGACGAACCACAAACTTCACTCTCCATCAAATAAACGGGCCAGGACTGAACCAGGACTGAACCAGGACTAAACCAGGACTAAACCAGGAATGAACCAGGACTAAAACCAGGACTGACTAAACCAGGACTAAACCAGGACTAAAACCAGGACTAAAACCAGGACTAAAACCAGGACTAAACCAGGACTAGACCAGGTCTTTTGTGTTCTTCTTCACATGCACATTTTGAATCTCCACAGATGTTCCTCTTTATTCCCGTCGTGTTCTCGTCTCCTCCAGCTTCAGTTCTGTCTCATCATTTTATTTTGAAGTCCATAAAAGCTCCTGGTCTTGGTTCCGGTCGTGGCTCTGGTCGTGGGTCGTGGCTCCGGTCGTGGCTCTGGTCCTCACATGATCCCAGCGTCTGACAAAAGTCTCGTTTAGAAGAACAATCAGAGCTTTGTTCTGACGCAGGAGGCCGAGGGTTTAAGCTCCTCTCACTTCAGATCTACACAAGAACCAAGACCAGTACCAGACCAGGACCAGGACCAGACCAGGACCAGACCAAGTTAAAACCAGGTCTAGAGCAGAACTACCCTGAGCTGAACCTGGGACCAAAGCAGCTCCTCACAGACCCACAGATCCAGAACAAGTGAAGTCCATGAGACGTCTGGTCTGGTCCTGGTTTTACTCTTAAAATAAAAATTCAGAATCATCATTTAGTTTGTGTGTTTCTCTTTTTGCCCAGAGGAGTCTTGTTTTTGAGGAGATGTTTGAGGAGATGTTTGAGGAGATGTTTTAGGGGGACCAGACTCGGGTTTGGATGTTTGTGTAAATAAAACTAAAAAGTGTGAGTCGTCTTTGTCCTCGACTCTCGTGTGGATCAGAGTAAAAACTGAGATTAAAGAAATTCAGTCTGCAGGATTTAAGACGAAGGAGAAAAGTGAGTTTATCGACTGGACGTGAAGAAGAAGAAGAAGAAGAAGAAGAAGAAGTCTGGACGAAGCTGAGAAACGTAATTGACCAAACAAATTTTTGTCCAGTCGACAAACTCGTTTTTCTCCTTTGTCCTGGATTCTACTGAACCACTGATGGAGTTTACACACTGCAGGATTTAACCCAAGATAGTCCTGGTTTAGTCCTGGATTAGACCTGAAAAAAAACTGATATAGTCCCTTTTTAGACCCGGTTTAGACCTGGTTTAGACCTGGTTCAGTCCTGTTTTAGACCTGAAATAAACCTATTTTAGTCCTGGTTTAGTCCCAGTTCAGTCCCAGTTTGGTCCTGGTTTAGCTCTCGTTTAGTCCTGGTTTAGATCTATTATAGTCCTATTTTAGTCCTAGTTCAGTCCCGGTTTAGATCAAATTGATCAGAAATAGAGACACTGGGACATTTCTTGTATAAAACTGGGACAAATGAGTGGTTTTTGTGTAAATCTGCAGGGACAGAGTCTCTCTGGACCCCGGTCCCCGGTCTCCCCGGTCTCCCCGGTCTCCCCGGTCTCCCCGGTCTCCCCGGTCTCCCCGGTCTCCCCGGTCCCCCTCCCCGGTCTCCCCGGTCTCCCGGTCTCCCCGGTCTCCCCGGTCTCCCCGGTCTCCCCGGTCCCCCGGTCCCCCCGGTCTCCCCGGTCCCCGGTCCCCGGTCCCTCCCGGTCCCTCCGGTCTCAGTCCAGTTTGACTTTCTAGGACTGGAGCTTTTTGTGGTCTTAAGTTCATCTGTGGCTTTAACTAAGGCACTTATCCAACAGATCCTGAGTCTGCGCCTCTGCTTCTCTTCAGACTCACTTCAGTTTCAGCTTCAGCTTCAGTTTGAGTTGGAGTTGGAGTTGAACTGGAGGTTCCTCAGACTTGCTCCTGGGTCTCGTGTGCAGTTTGAGTGTGAAGTGTTGTGTGGCTCGGTGTTGTTTTTAGGAGGTTTTGTTTGTTGGGGCGTGTTAAATGTTAAATGTGCGTGTCTCTGTGTCCTTGGTTTAATCCTCTGTTAATCCGACACATGGACAATGACTCTGTGTTTTACAGTGAATAAAAACACAACAAAAATCACTTTAATCACCACAATCTGCCCTTTTTCATTCATTCCACTTCACACTCCGCTCTAATAACCTTCAGAACCTCTTAAATATCTTTCATTTGAATTATTTCTGCAGGAAATTACGGCTTTTACTTTGAAATGACAGTCAAATCCAAGTGTAAAGTAGAATTTAAATTGATGATCAGATTTATTGGTGCATTTTTCATCTTTGTTCACGCGCTCCACGAGCACACGAGCGTGCAACAACTGATTTAAAAATGGCGTCACCTTTCAGTAAATTCTACACATTTCTACAAATATTTGTAAGATAGTTTTAAGCAGAATATGTCGCATTACTTGATTTCAATTACAAACGGTCTATTAGCGAATTCGGCTTGAATCAAATGTTCATATTTCATCACAGAGTGTACAATTTTGAAGATGTTTTGTGGAAACGCGCGCTCTGTGCTGATTTACTCACAGGGTCTAGTCCTCCTTAAACCAGTGTATTTTCTCAGCGGAGTCCGGCGGAAGGATACGTGACAGCTCTCACAATAAGCTAGCGGCGCAGAAACGTGTTTTAAAGCGCAGAGTGTCTTACCGTGTGTGGACTGACTGTGGTGCGGGTCGCTGCGGTGATCGCTGCGGTTTTGTCTGGATCATAGAGACATGGGACTTTTCTTCTTATTTCACGGTAAATACGCAGAAAAAGCGTCGTTAGCCTCAAAGCCGAAGAGCGGCCCGCTATCCGCCCGCGCATGCGCACTCCCGCTCCTCTCAGCGGTCAAACTGCGGCGGCGCCACCGGAAAAACGCCACAAAACACAGATTTTAAACCGTGAAATCTACGAAATACTCAGATATATTTGATATTTCAAGTGTCATCTGTGTATTTCTGTGTTTATATGAGTCTGAACATGTATAAATCTGTGATGCCAGAACTCGGTCTGTGTACATGATATAAACACAGACAGACTCGACTGTCAGTGTGGGGATGTAGCTCAGTGGTAGAGCGCATGCTTTGCATGTATGAGGCCCCGGGTTCAATCCCCGGCATCTCCAGGGAAACACACTTTTAGTCTGGGCGCTCGATTTAAAATAGAACAAAAATCAAAAATACAAGTTATTTTCTGCAATTAACTTGTCTTCAAATTATTGCTTCTTCAGGTGAGGTAAAAGAGATTATATATATGTATATATTTTTTTTTAAAGAAAAATCAAAATGACGACTAACTTGTTGTACGGTTGTAGGGAGTATCATGTAACGGATAATACTCCCTACAACTGTAACTCCTCACAGCTGTGTATCGTTACTTTTGGTTTACATAAGCACACTTTGGTTTAATTTGAAATACCACTGATATTCCTTTTATTTATTTTCTAATAATAGCATCAAAGGTAGGAAACATCAGGCAAAGGAGAATGAAAAATTACAAATTGTAGGTAGGCCTGATGATATTAATAGTCATATTAATAACAATTGTATTAATAATAATCACATGCAGCACTTAATAAAAGTTAAAAAAATAGGCCTACAAAATAAATACATAAGAAAATTTTATTATATGAGTAACAAATCAACTTGCCAGCTCTTATGTCTGTCCAGGTGAGCATGCGTTTTTAAAAGAGAAAATATGAAAAATATAAGTTATTTTCTACAATTCACTTGTCCTTAAATTATTAATACTCCCTACAACTGTACAACTCACCCTTATGTAACTGATAAACCTGTGTCCTGTCAATCATCTGCTGTCTTCCTGTGACCTCATAAAGCTGTGATTTTATATTTCATTACTTTTCTATTTTCTCTCTACATTTACATTTAAATAACTGAGTTTTATTTCACACGTCTCTTGCTCTTTTTTGCAACTTTAGAATTTATCACCATTTATATTTTTTCTTTATTATATTGTGAAGTGTGACTCCTGTGTCCAAATAATTCTGTTTTTGTTTGTTGCTGAAAAAAAAATAAAAATAAACTCAGCTCTAACCACAGTGTCTTTTACTCAAGCTCAGTGTCACTCAGTGTCCCTCCTCGTCGTCCTCTTCCTCCTCTGTTCACGTTCATCTCAGTCTGGATCTGATTTTAAACTTAAATAACAACAGCACAAAGATCGTTCCCATTTTCTTGTATTTATTGAAAAAGTCTGATAGAAAAACATTATGAAATTGAATGAATTTCCAGTTCATTGCTACATTATCGACACCAGCATCAAAAACAACACGAGGATTTGGATCAGAACCCAAACAGCAGAATCACAAGAAACGGTTTGGAAACAAGAGTTTGGTCCTTTGTGCCACAGCGAAACGACAGAATCATAATGAAACCTGAGACAAGAGTTAAGTGTTCTAAAGAAATGTGTGTTCTGAAAAAAAATGTAAACAGTAAACACTCGAAGCGCGGAATGTGCAGGTGGAGGTTTAAACTCAGTGATTGTGCGTTCGATGGAAAAACTAATGATTCTGGGACAGTTTGGGGACAGCGCTGAGGTCCGAGGTCCGAGCTCGTGGGACCTAAGACGAGACTTAAACCCTGGAGGACAGGACTTTCTCTGTGACCGACCTCACACCGCAGGAGTTTTATTGGTTTTATTTATTTATTGCTATTCCATAGTTTCTGCTCTTATTGTTTTCAGACTAGTGTGATTAAATCTAAGTGTTTATTTTATCATTATACTGGCAAAAGGAGAAATTCAATTTGTCGACTGGGCAAAAGTTTATTTGGGTTGAATCTGTTTCTGAACTCGTCCAAACTGTTCTTCACTTTAGTTCAGTGACTCTGTCTTATATCTGCCTGAAGGGGGCGCTCACTACACTCACATTACTCTCACACTAACACACACATGTACATGTGTTTACAGTTTGTTTGTTAGATCTGTTGACCTGCATGAGTGTGGATCTTATCAGCAGAGTCACTCAGGTCATACTGGAGTTTTCACACCTCTGGTCCTGACCTGACCTCCTCCTCTAGTTGTATTTGTTTTGTTTTAGGTTTGAGGACGGAGTTGTTACTCAACGGTGTCTGAGTCTGTTTCCATCTCTTAACAAAAACAGCCTCTTGAACTCCTCCCAAACAAAAATCTTTCCTCAGACTCTGAACCTCACGGGAGCGACTCCAGGATTTTATGTGCAGATGAACAACAGACTCAGGTCCAGTGTTGCTCTCTCGTCTCGTCTGTGCATCCTCCAACAAACACAAACTGTAAACGTGTGTGTGTGCGTGTGTGTGTGCGTGTGTGTGCGTGTGTGTGTGCGTGTGTGCGTGTGTGTCAGAGTAGTGTGTGTGTAGTGAGCGCCCCCTTCTGGCAGATATAAGACAGTGTCACCAGTGTCTGACAGAAGTGAAGAAACAGATTGGACAAGTTGAAAAATGTTTTTGACCAAATAAACTTTCGTCCAGTCGACAAATTGAATTTCTCTTTTTATCGTGGATTTTACCCAATCGACTGAGGAATTCTACATCATTATTATTATTATTACATTATTATTGTTGTTGTGCAGCATTTTGGAAACTGTTTGTGAAATGTGCCACAGGAACAAAGTGAATTGGAATGGACAGTATGAGTTTAGTGCCAGTGTGATACCAGGTAGTAGTATTTGTAGTACAGGTGTAGTAGTGGTGTAGTACTGGTGTAGTACAAGTGTAGTACCAGGGCAGTATTTGGAATGTCCAGATCTGGTCACAGTTTTGCAAAGTTGCTAAAATATTGTAATACTTCTGAGTAAATCAAACACTTATCAGAGAAAATGAAGTAAACAAAAAAGAATGTTGTGCAGAGTGTGTGTTGTTTTAGCCCGTGTGAGTGTGTGTGAGCCGTGTGTGTGAGCCGTGTGTGTGAGCCGTGTGTGTGAGCCGTGTGTGTGAGCCGCGTGTGTGAGCCGTGTGTGTGAGCCGTGTGTGTGAGCCGTGTGTGTGAGCCGTGTGCAGAGGCTCATCTTCCCAGCACGGTGGCGAGCAGAGCCATCCTGATGTACATCCCGTTCTCCGCCTGTCGGAAATACGCCGCACGACGAGGATCTGAGTCCACCTCCGCACTGAAACACACACCACAACCACGTCAAAGTCTCAACTGTGTGTGTGTGTGTGTCTGTGTGTGTGTCTGTGTGTGTGTGTCTGTGTGTGTGTCTCTGTGTGTGTGTGTCTGTGTGTGTGTGTGTCTCTGTGTGTGTGTGTGTGTGTCTCTGTGTCTGTGTGTGTGTCTGTGTCTGTGTGTGTGTGTGTGTGTGTGTGTGTGTGTGTGTGTAATATTTATTGTGATATTTTGAAGAGATAAAAACATTGTGAATATTAAACTTTCTGTCGTAAACCAGAGACTTAAGATTTAAAGTTCTTCATAATTTATTTCATTGTGTAAATTGGACTGAAACAAAGCAAAGCATCATGGTCTCTGTAGTTTATTCTGTTTCTTTTAGACATTTCTGCATCATAACAATGAATTTCAACACAGACATTTGAGATTCGATGTATTATTCTGACGATACGATATCATGATATTTTGGATTAGTTACATCCTAAGAACAGGAGACTCGGGAGTCAGGTCCAGGGTCTCACGCTTTTTCACTGACAAAATGTCCAAAATATTCCATGATTTTTTCATGACTAAAGTGAATTTTTCCATGACTTTCCAGCACCTCCATGTGTAGAACTGATCAGACTTTTAGTTCTAAATCTGAAACATGAACCGTTTCCTCTCTCCTTATGGTTTTGGGATTATAGTTTTTGAACATTTACTGTCGTTTCTTTTAAACAAAAGACGTTCAGAAATAATCAGAACAGACTCATGAAAACTGAACAAACACTGGAGCGAAGGGAAACAAATTAAATCTACAGGACTTTTCCAGGATTTCTGGACCTGTTTCCACAGCGTTCAGCTCCAGTCAAATGAAGCTCATTGAGGTTAGCTGTTCTAGCTGAAACCAGGAGCATGTTTGGAAAGAGCCAATCAGGAAGGAGGAGGAGGAGCTGCTGCTGTGGTTTTGAGCTTTGCAGAAAAACATCGAAGTGAATGAGGCTGAAGGTGCAGCCACGTTCACACAGAAGGTCAGACTAAACCAGGACTAAACCGGGTCTAAACAGGACTAAAGCGGGACTGACCTGATCTCGTTGACTCGGGGCAGAGGATGCATCACCACCATCTTGTTCTTGGCTCCGGTCATGATGTGAGGAGTCAGGATGTACTGACCGAAGCTCTGAACAAGAAACATTTAACACACAAACATCAGAGTCCACGACATCAGCACAGTCCAACGGGTTTACAACACAGGGAGACAGGTGAGACAGGTGAGACAGGTGAGACAGGTGAGACAGGTGAGAGGTCAGGAGACAGGTGAGAGACAGGTGGGAGACAGGTGAGAGACAGGTGGTGAGACAGGTGGGAGACAGGTGAGACAGGTGAGAGACAGGTGGGAGACAGGGACAGGTGAGACAGGGTGAGAGACACAGGTGAGAGACAGGTGGAGACAGGTGGAGACAGGTGGGAGACAGGTGGAGACAGGTGGGAGACGGTGAGACAGGTGAGCAGAGAGACAGGTGAGACAGGTGAGACAGGTGAGACAGTAGAGACAGGTGAGACAGGTGAGACAGGTCAGGTGAGAGACAGGTGAGAGACAGGTGACAGGTGGGAGACAGGTGGGACAGGTGGGAGACAGGTGGGAGACAGAGACAGGTGAGACAGGTGGGAGACAGGTGGAGACAGGGACAGGTGAGACAGGTGAGAGACAGGTGGGAGACAGGTGAGACGGTGAGAGACAGGTGAGACAGGTGAGACAGGTGAGACAGGTGAGACAGGTGGGAGACAGGGGAGACAGGTGGGAGACAGGTGGGGAGGTGAGACAGGTGAGACAGGTGAGAGACAGGTGAGACAGGTGGGAGACAGGTGAGACAGTGGGAGACAGGTGAGAGACAGGTGAGAGACAGGGAGACAGGTGAGAGAACAGGTGGGAGACAGGTGAGACAGGTGGAGACAGGTGGGAGACAGGTGGGGAGACAGGTGGGAGACAGGTGGGAGACAGGTGAGACAGGTGAGAGACAGGTGAGAGACAGGTGGGAGACAGGTGAGACAGGTGAGACAGGTGAGAGACAGGTGGGAGACAGGTGAGACAGGTGGGAGACAGGTGGGAGACAGGTGAGACAGGTGGAGACAGGTGAGAGACAGGTGGAGACAGGTGGGACAGGTGAGACAGTGGTGAGACAGGTGAGACAAGACAGGTGGGAGACAGGTGAGACAGGTGAGACAGGAGAGACAGGTGAGAGACAGGTGGGAGACAGGTGAGGACAGTGAGACAGGTGAGACAGGTGAGAGACAGGTGGGAGACAGGTGAGACAGGTGGGAGACAGGTGGGGACAGGTGGGGAGACAGGTGAGACAGGTGAGAGACAGGTGAGAGACAGGTGGGAGACAGGTGAGACAGGTGGGAGACAGGTGGGAGACAGGTGAGAGGGAGACAGGTGAGACAGGTGAGAGACAGGTGAGAGACAGGTGGGAGACAGGTGGGAGACAGGTGAGACAGGTGGGAGACAGGTGACAGGTGGAGACAGGTGAGAGACAGGTGAGACAGGTGGGAGACAGGTGAGAGACAGGTGGGAGACAGGTGGGAGACAGGTGAGACAGGTGGGAGACAGGTGGGAGACAGGTGGAGACAGGTGGGAGACAGGTGGGAGACAGGTGAGAGACAGGTGAGAGACAGGTGGAGACAGTGGGAGAACAGGTGAGACAGGTGGAGACAGGTGGGAGACAGGTGAGACAGGTGGGAGACAGGTGAGACAGGTGAGAGACAGGTGAGAGACAGGTGAGAGACAGGTGGGAGACAGGTGAGACAGGTGGAGACAGGTGGAGACAGGTGAGAGACAGGTGAGAGACAGGTGAGAGAGACAGGTGAGAGACAGGTGGGAGACAGGTGGAGAGACAGGTGGGAGGACAGGTGAGACAGACAGGTGGGAGACAGGTGAGACAGACAGTGAGAGACAGGTGGGAGACAGGTGGGAGACAGGTGAGAGACAGGTGAGACAGGTGAGACAGGTGGGAGACACAGGTGAGAGACAGGTGAGAGACAGGTGAGAGACAGGTGGGAGACAGGGAGACAGGTGAGACAGGTGACAGGTGACAGGAGAGACAGGTGGGAGACAGGTGGGAGACAGGTGAGGGACAGGTGGGAGACAGGTGGGGAGACAGGGAGACAGGTGAGAGACAGGTGGGAGAGAGACAGGTGGAGACAGGTGAGAGACAGGTGAGAGACAGGTGGGAGACAGGTGGGAGACAGGTGGAGACAGGTGGGAGACAGGTGGAGAGAGACAGGTGGGAGACAGGTGAGACAGGTGAGAGACAGGTGGGAGACAGGTGGGAGACAGGTGGACAGGTGGGAGACAGGTGAGACAGGTGGGAGACAGGTGAGAGACAGGTGGGAGACAGGTGGGAGACAGGTGGGAGACAGGTGGGAGACAGGTGAGAGACAGGTGGGAGACAGGTGAGACAGGTGAGAGACAGGTGAGAGTGTCAGGTGCAGGTGTGTGTCCTGGATTATAATTCAGATCTAATTCCTGAATTTCTCCACATGAAACAAAAACTGACTCAAAGTTCAGCTTCTGTCAGGAAAAAGAAACTAAAGGTCCAGTCCGGTCCAGTCCGGGTCCAGTCCGGGTCCAGTCCGGGTCCGGTCCAGTCCGGGTCCAGTCCGGGTCCAGTCCGAGTGTTTCAGCTGAAGGGACGTTAAACCAGAAGATGAATCTGTTTGTGGAGTTGATCTCAAACACAGAAATGAGAAGGAGAAACATCTGAAGAGCACAAGTTTGGATATTTCTTAAAAACAGAATCTAAAACAGAGTCCCCACAGAGTCCCCACAGAGTCCCCACAGATTTAAACAGAGTCCCCACAGAGTCTCCCACAGAGTCCCCACAGAGTCTCCACAGAGTCCCCACAGAGTCTCCCACAGAGTCTCCACAGAGTCCCCACAGAGTCTCCCACAGAGTCTCCACAGAGTCCCCACAGAGTCCCCACAGAGTCCCCACAGAGAGTCCCCACAAAGTCCCCACAGAGTCCCCCAGAGTCCCCACAGAGTCCCCACAGAGTCCCCACAGAGTCCCCACAGAGTCCCCACAGAGTCCCCACAGAGTCTCCCCCACAGAGTCCCACAGAGTCTCCCACAGAGTCCCACAGAGTCCCCACAGAGTCCCCACAGAGTTCCCACAGAGTCCCCACAGAGTCCCCACAGAGTCCACAGAGTCACAGAGTCCCCACAGAGTCTCCCACAGAGTCCCACAGAGTCTCCCACAGAGTCCCCACAGAGTCCCACAGAGTCTCCACAGAGTCCCACAGAGTCCCACAGAGTCACAGAGTCTCCCACAGAGTCCCACAGAGTCTCCCACAGAGTCCCACAGAGTCCCCACAGAGTCCCCACAGAGTCTCCCACAGAGTCCCCACAGAGTCCCCAGAGTCCCCTAGTGTCTCACCGCTCTGTATTCTTCCTCGGAGGAGAATCGTTCTTTCTGGATCCGGGTCATGTACAGAACATCTGTGTCGGGCAGCGCCTCCTCCAGGCTCTCAAACTCCTCCTGCTCCAACACAAACACAGATACACAAACACACACACACACACACACACACACACACACACACACACACACACAACACACACAATACACACACACACACAAACACACACACACACACACACACACACAACACACACACACACACACACACACAAACACACACACAAACACAAACACAGGTATTAATATGGCACAGTAAAACCTCTTCATGTGTCTTAACGAGCTCATGAACAAACAGAATGAAAAACTCGTGGAAATGTCGGGACTTGTTAAAGCTGCAGTTTGTGGAGCTTCGTTCTGCTGTTTTTCTCTTTTGATTTTACAAAACTAATGAACATTTTATTTGTTTGTTTCCCAGTTTCACTCGAGTGTTTCACTTCAGAGTTAAAGAACACTGAGATGTTTCAGTCCCGCGGTGGTGGGCGGAGTCTCGTACCGCTGTAATGACACATTAAAAGCAGCTCAGACCTGTTTGATTCCTTTGGAGGCCACGTAGCTGCAGATCTCCGGTGGCATGTGCAGGTTCTTGGGGGCCACGTATCTCAGCGTGATGCGATACTGCGTCAGGAGTTTGGCGAGAGAGTGAACGGTGCGACCGTGTTTCAGGTCCCCGACCATCGTGATCTGACAAAACAAGAGACAAGAACGAGTTTGAGGTCGAGACAAGAACGAGTTTGAGGTCGAGACAAGAACGAGTTTGAGGTCGAGACAAGAACGAGTTTGAGGTCGAGACAAGAACGAGTTTGAGGTCCTCGACCATCGTGATCTGACAAAACACAAAGAAGAAAAGATGTGGACTGTTTTTTAAATCCAGTGTTTCTCAAGTTAAAGAAACTGACTTTTTGTGGGATTTTCATGTGGGAAATAAACTCATTATTTATATTTAACGCTCTTCTGTTTCAGTTCTGACTCATGAATCTGTTCAAAAGGCACTCAGAATATTGGTATCGAATATCACTTTGAGTATGAGTATCAGGATCAGCAGTTAATGATATCAAAGAGCCTGGATAATAATCGGCCAATACCGATACTGAAACCTGTTTATCCTCATTGATCATGAGTAAAACTCTAAACTCCTGGGGAATCATCAGGACGTTCTGAACACAGAAGGTCAAAGAGGAAGAACCAAAGGAAGAACTCTGGACCAAAGGGCTTAAAATGAACTCAAATCAGGTCCAAAAACACAGAGGGAACAGGCTGTGCTCCATTTGAGACAGAAGAACTGTGCTGTAGTAACAGAACATTAGTAGATAAAGTTTTTACACTTAGAATTTAAACTCAGCCATGTGTTGATTTTATAAAGTATACAAGTATAATTTATATACAAGTATATAAAAGTATATAAAAGTAAAACTCACGGTCATCCCGTTGACGGTGCCCAGCTCCTCTCGGATGGTGAAAACGTCCAGAAGAGCCTGAGTCGGATGTTCTCCAACTCCATCTCCAGCGTTTATCACCGGCTTACGGCAATGACGAGAGGCAGACTGAAGAGAAGAAGAGAGGGAAGAAGAGGAGGAGGAGAGGAAGAGGAGGAGGAGAGGAAGAGGAGAGGTGTTTAATGTGACACCAAAGTTGTTGGTAAATGTTCAGTGACGATTAAGGTAAAACTGATTCTTTTTGTTGTTACTGTAAGAGAATTGAAGTTATTTATCCTCCTCGTTTTTCTCTCAGTTTCACATCGACTCACAGGAGCAACAAAAACTATTTTTGGACGGTTGGTTTTTGGCATTTTGTGGGGCAGCAGCAGCAACATTTGAAAAAAATCCTATCTGTGTCATTAAAAGATCAGATACAGGAGCAGAGGGACCAAACATCTGATCTGTGGGACTTCACTTGGGCTGCTTGGAGACTGAGACTTGGAGACTTGGAGACCTGGAGACTTGGAGACTTGGAGACTTGGAGACTTGGAGACCTGGAGACTGGAGACTGGAGACTTGGAGACCTGGAGACCTGGAGACCTGGAGACAGTCTGAGGTGTAACCTGTTCTCACCTCCACGGCTCCGGGCGTCGGGTGGCGCAGCACGAGGACGTCGGCGTAGCAGCTCATGGTCTGGACGGAGTCGCACAGCGACTCTCCCTTCTGACACGACGACGTCTCTGCTGCGCCACCCGACGCCGGAGCGTGGAGGTGAGAACAGGTTCACTGTCTCCAGTCTCCACGTCTCCAAGTCTCCAGTCTCCAAGTCTCCAAGTCTCCAGGTCTCCAAGTCTCCAAGGTCTCCAGGTCTCCAGGTCTCCAGGTCTCCAGGTCCACGTTCAGTCTGCAGCCTGAAGTCCCACAGATCAGATGTTTGGTCCCTCTGCTCCTGTATCTGATCTTTTAATGACACAGATAGGATTTTTTTCAAATGTTGCTGCTGCTGCCCCACAAAATGCCAAAAACCAACCGTCCAAAAATAGTTTTTGTTGCTCCTGTGAGTCGATGTGAAACTGAGAGAAAAACGAGGAGGATAAATAACTTCAATTCTCTTACAGTAACAACAAAAAGAATCAGTTTTACCTTAATCGTCACTGAACATTTACCAACAACTTTGGTGTCACATTAAACACCTCACTCTCTCCTCCTCCTCTTCCTCTTCCTCTCCTCTTTCCTCTCCTCCTCTTCTCTCCTCCTCCTCCTCTTTTCTCCTCCCTCTCTCTCTTCTCTTCAGTCTGCCTCTCGTCATTGCCGTAAGCCGGTGATAAACGCTGGAGATGGAGTTGGAGAACATCCGACTCAGGCTCTTCTGGACGTTTTTCACCATCCGAGAGGAGCTGGGCACCGTCAACGGGATGACCGTGAGTTTATTTACTTTATATACTTTATACTTTTATATACTTATATATAAATTATACTTGTATACTTTATAAAATCAACACATGGCTGAGTTTAAATTCTAAGTGGTAAAAACTTTATCTACTAATGTTCTGTTACTACAGCACAGTTCTTCTGTCTCAAATGGAGCACAGCCTGTTCCCTCTGTGTTTTTTGGACCTGATTTGAGTTCATTTTAAGCCCTTTGGTCCAGAGTTCTTCCTTTGGTTCTTCCTCTTTGACCTTCTGTGTTCAGAACGTCCTGATGATTCCCCAGGAGTTTAGAGTTTTACTCATGATCAATGAGGATAAACAGGTTTCAGTATCGGTATTGGCCGATTATTATCCAGGCTCTTTGATATCATTAACTGCTGATCCTGATACTCATACTCAAAGTGATATTCGATACCAATATTCTGAGTGCCTTTTGAACAGATTCATGAGTCAGAACTGAAACAGAAGAGCGTTAAATATAAATAATGAGTTTATTTCCCACATGAAAAATCCACAAAAAGTCAGTTTCTTTAACTTGAGAAACACTGGATTTAAAAAACAGTCCACATCTTTTCTTCTTTGTGTTTTGTCAGATCACGATGGTCGAGGATCTCAAACTCGTTTCTTGTCTCGACCTCAAACTCGTTCTTGTCTCAACCTCAAACTCGTTCTTGTCTCGACCTCAAACTCGTTCTTGTCTCGACCTCAAACTCGTTCTTGTCTCTTGTTCTTGTTTTGTCAGATCACGATGGTCGGGGACCTGAAACACGGTCGCACCGTTCACTCTCTCGCCAAACTCCTGACGCAGTATCGCATCACGCTGAGATACGTGGCCCCCAAGAACCTGCACATGCCACCGGAGATCTGCAGCTACGTGGCCTCCAAAGGAATCAAACAGGTCTGAGCTGCTTTTAATGTGTCATTACAGCGGTACGAGACTCCGCCCACCACCGCGGGACTGAAACATCTCAGTGTTCTTTAACTCTGAAGTGAAACACTCGAGTGAAACTGGGAAACAAACAAATAAAATGTTCATTAGTTTTGTAAAATCAAAAGAGAAAAAACAGCAGAACGAAGCTCCACAAACTGCAGCTTTAACAAGTCCCGACATTTCCACGAGTTTTTCATTCTGTTTGTTCATGAGCTCGTTAAGACACATGAAGAGGTTTTACTGTGTGCCATATTAATACCTGTGTGTGTATGTGTGTGTGTGTGTGTGTTTGTGTGTGTGTGTGTGTGTGTGTGTGTGTGTGTGTGTGTTTGTGTGTGTGTGTGTTTGTGTGTGTGTGTGTGTGTGTGTGTGTGTGTGTGTGTGTGTGTGTGTTTGTGTGTGTGTGTGTGTGTGTGTGTGTGTGTGTGTGTGTGTGTGTGTGTGTGTGTGTGTGTGTGTGTGTGTGTGTGTGTGTGTGTGTGTGTGTGTGTGTACTGTGTGTGTGTGTGTGTGTGTGTGTGTGTGTGTGTGTGTGTGTGTGTGTGTGTGTGTGTGTGTGTGTGTGTGTGTGTGTGTGTGGTGTGTGTGTGTGGTGTGTTTGTGTATCTGTGTTTGTGTTGGAGCAGGAGGAGTTTGAGAGCCTGGAGGAGGCGCTGCCCGACACAGATGTTCTGTACATGACCCGGATCCAGAAAGAACGATTCTCCTCCGAGGAAGAATACAGAGCGGTGAGACACTAGGGGACTCTGTGGGGACTCTGTGGGACTCTGTGGGGACTCTGTGGGGACTCTCTGGGGACTCTGTGGGACTCTGTGGGGACTCTGTGGGGACTCTGTGGGGACTCTGTGGGAGGGACTCTGTGGGAGACTCTGTGGGAGACTCTGTGGAGACTCTGTGGGGACTCTGTGGGGACTCTGTGGGAGACTCTGTGGGGACTCTGTGGGAGACTCTGTGGGGACTCTGTGGGGACTCTGTGGGGACTCTGTGGGAGACTCTGTGGGGACTCTGTGGGACTCTGTGGGACTCTGTGGGGACTCTGTGGGGACTCTGACTCTGTGGGGACTCTGTGGGGACTCTGTGGGGACTCTGTGGGGACTCTGTGGGACTCTGTGGGGACTCTGTGGGGACTCTGTGGGGACTCTGTGGGGACTTGTGGGGACTCTGTGGGGACTCTGTGGGGACTCTGTGGAGACTCTGTGGGGAGACTCTGTGGGGACTCTGTGGAGACTCTGTGGGAGACTCTGTGGGGACTCTGTGGAGACTCTGTGGGGACTCTGTGGGAGACTCTGTGGGGACTCTGTTTAAAACTGTGGGGACTCTGTGGGGACTCTGTGGCAGATTCTGTTTTTAAGAAATATCCAAACTTGTGCTCTTCAGATGTTTCTCCTTCTCATTCTGTGTTTGAGATCAACTCCACAAACAGATTCATCTTCTGGTTTAACGTCCCTTCAGCTGAAACACTCGGGACTGGACCCGGACTGGACCCGGACTGGACCCGGACTGGACCCGGACTGGACCGGACTGGACGGACCTTTAGTTTCTTTTTCCTGA